TGATTCAGTTCTTTTTTAAAAAAATATATTTTATTGATTTGTTACAGAGAGGAAGGGAGAGGGATTGAGAGAAACATCGATTCAGCTGCCTCCTGCACACCCCCTAATAAGGATGTGCCCGCAACCAAGGTACATGCCCTTGACTGGAATCGAACCTGGGACCCTTCAGTCCACAGGCTGAGCTCTATCCACTGAGCCAAACTGGTCAGGGCTCTCTTTATTTTTAAAAGACTGTGCCACACACGCCCGGCCCCCAGCACCACCTGGGACTGGGCGAGGGGCCATTGGTGGTTTGCAGGCCAGCTGTGCCCCCAATTGTGGTGGGGGTCCCCTCTGGGGCGCTGGGCCAGCCTGGGCGAGGGGCCGCGTCAGGGTGGAGGGGGCTAGCCGCCCCATACTCAATCGGGGTGGGAGAGGCTGACCTGGGGTGGGGCAAGGGAAGGGGCTGGGTTTGCTGGCAGCAGTGGGCGTCATAGTGACTGGTCTTTAGTCGTTATGGCGTTAGGACCACTGGGTTTTTATTATATAGATTGTGTTTCTGGTTGGTCTTCGCCATTGTCAGATTTTACACTGTGTTCTCTAGAGCAGTGTTTCTTAAATTTTAATGTGCAAATGAATTCCCCGGGGAGCTTGGTACAATGCAGACTAATTCAGTGGCTCTGTGGGTGACACTGAGATTTCTACAACCTCCCAGGTGATGCTTATGTTGCTGGTCTTCAGCTATACTCAGAACAAGTCTCGTCGGGTCTTCCAGTTACTTAAGGATGGAATTACTCTCTACTACAGTATTATGTTTCTTGGGGAGTATTTTCTGAATTGCATTCAGAAATAGTAACTTAAAAAACAACAACAAGAAGAAATAGTAACTTTTTAAAAATGATCTTATTAATCAGAAATATTTGCTACTGGTGATCTTGTAATTGACACCAAAAGTTTATTTAGAGCTCCATTTCCTGATGTGTGGCTTGTTAACTATTCAAAGTTATTCCTTTGTGGGTGGTTTACTGGTATTTATGATAATGAAGTAACTTTTTCAATGGTGTTATTCTTAGGGTAGGTAGTATAGAAGGAAGATTGAATAGCAGGAAAATTAAGGTCTTTTCAAAATATATGGATAGAAAACACCTGCTGCCTTTAAATATCAGAGTTGTAAGATGTCCAAATGACAACAGAGAAATTAAAATACTAACTTTCCTAAAGATACCTGGTACCAATAAAGAACTGGAAGTCAAAGGAAGAAATAGAAAGGATAACAGTGTTACCATTGTAATTAGCTGGTTGTTAATAATTGGAAAGGAGCCCTAGCCGGTTTGGCTCAGTGGATAGAGCGTTGGCCTGTGGACTGAAGGGTCCCAGGTTCAATTCTGGTTCAGGGTATGTACCTCGGTTGCAGGCTCGATCTGAGGCCCTTGTTGGGGTGTGTGTGGGAAGCAACCAATCGATGTGTCTCTTTCACATCAATGTTTCTCTCTGTCTCTCCCCTTACTTCCACTCTCTCTAAAAATCAATGGAAAAATATCCTCATTATAGGACAGGAGCAAAAGGGAGGCCAGACATCATAAGCATGCCATCTGGAAGCTGCAACTTCACACTCCCCAGGGAACCACCAGTCCATTCCCTGCTGATCACTTGGGGAAGGGGTCCAACAAAGGGGAGATGGATGCATGTGTAGTAAAGTCAGGGTTATGTAGGGAAGGTGCCTGCCAGTTTAACCTGGAAACAGAGATAATTAGCTAGAGGGGGTCGGCCACTGCAAGTGCAGGAAATCTTAGAATGTTAAAATCCCCAAAGGAATTCTTGCACTCTGGTTCCTCCTTTGTTCCTCTGGTTTTGCTCCTGCTTCCTTGCATTCGCCTGTGTTCCTAGAAGCTGCATGGCCTATGGCCATGCAGACCCCACACTTAATGGACTGATGGACTGCAGCTGGGAACACAAGCTAAACTAGCCTGATGCTGGATTGGACTGTGCAAATATGAAACAGAAACTTTGGGCAGCAGCTTTAATCCCAGCTCTGCTAAGGACACAGCTGGACTTCTTCCATGGTGGGACGGAGTGGAGTGGAGGGAACCTTGGAAACTCAGGGGTTTAATTCCACGCAAATAAGTGCCACTCATTTACCCATACCAGCCTCAAAAATTCCTTTTCTTGTGACATCGCAAGAAGCCCACTTCCACCAACATCCAGTGCGGACATGGAGGGCACCCTACCAAAAATAACAGTATAGGGTCATTTTTGAATTAAGAATATTTATAATAGCTAGTATGTTGAACAGGGCACAGCTCGTGAGATTACCAAAATGCAACTTTTGTTTTGTCTCTCACATCCCTTTGTATTTGACTAGAGGCCCGGTGCAAGATTGGGCGGGGAAGGGACCGCAGGAGGGCTCCAGAACGTGTCTGGCCATTCTCACCCAGTCCTGATTGGCCAGACCCCAGCAGCAAGCTAACCTACCTGTTGGAGCGCCTGCCCCCTGGTGGTCAGTGCGCGTCATAGCGACTGGTTGAAAGGTCGAACAGTCGGACACTTCGCATATTAGGCTTTTATTATATAGGACTAGAGGCCCCGTGCACAAAAATTTGTGCACTCGGGGGGGGGGGTC